TATTTCAGTACTTATTATAATGAAAGTAATATCTTTGCATTTAATATAATAGTGCATTTCTAATGCATATGTTTAGTTACCCAAAACCAAAAATATCTAAAAAGTGATATTTTCAGACCAGCAGGTGGCATGGTGTTCATGGCACTGAATTCCACATGGCCAACTCTACAGTTCAAGTCCCAGATTCAGCAGCCTGAAAAAACATGTTTAGTACATGGGCATGTCTGCCTAAAATCCTGAGAGGAGAATGGAGGAGAAGGGATTATGTATAGACATCGTTCCAGGGGCTGATTTCTCACTTTCTCTCTCCTTCTGTCTCTTTCTCTCTCTCTGGCAAGCACACATGCCCTATGACAAAACATATTAAAAAAAAATACTCCAAAAAGTGATATTTTCACTTTTAGAAAAATATAAGAAAATTTATCAAAAACATGGATTTCTTGTTAAATCAAAAAGGAACACCCATTTGCCCTATATGATGTATTTTTCTTCAGAAAAAAAATTTTTTTTTACTATAGGGCATGTACACTCACTGGAGACACAGAGATAGAAGAAAGTGAGAACCCAACCCCCCACATACACTCAGGGGATTGACACGCTGCAATCCTTTCTCCTCCATTCTCCTCTTAGAATTTTGGGCAGACATGCACATGTGCCCAGCATGAGTTCAAGTTACCAGGTCCAGGACTTGAACCATGGTTGACCATGTGAGAGTCCAGCATCTTAACTACTATGCCACCTGTTAGCCCCAGTGATGCATTTTTCTTCCTTCAAACTCAAAGACCCTGTACTGACTAGTCAAAAGTTTTGCCTAGGGGCCAACACGTGGTATAGTGGTTAAGGCGCTAGACTTCTACATAGCTGACTGTGGTCCCAGTCCCCGACCTGGCTGCTTGATTTCTCACTTTCCCTCTCTCTTTTTCCCTCTCTCTGTCCCTCTCTGGTCAAATACAAATTAATTAATTAATTAATTAATAATCTTTTTTTAAAAAGTAGGTGCCAGCAGATGGCATAGTAGTTATACTACTGGACTTCCACATGGCCGACTATGGTTTGAGTCCCAGACTTGGTGGCTTGAAACTCATGCCGGGTACGTGTGTGTGCATGCCCAAGATCTCCAGAGGAAAATGGAGAAGGAATTGTGGTGTGACTATCTCCCTTGGGGGTGATTTTTCAGTTTCCTTCTCACTGTCTCTGTCTCTCTCTCTGGAGGGCACATGCACCTTATGACAAAAACCTCTTAAATAAATAAAATTCAATAAAAATTATTACTTTTTAAAGAATTATTTTATTTAACTTTATTTATTTATTTCAATTTTGAGAGAGAGAGAGAGATAGAGAGAGAGAGAGAGAGAGAAAGCCACCAGGTCGGGGACTCTTACCGCAGTCAGCCATGTGGGAGTCCAGTGCCCTTAACCACAACACCACCTGCTGGCCTCAAACAATTATTTATTTATTTATTTATTTTGAGACGTGTTTGCTATAAGGTGCGTGTACTTCCCAGAAAGACAGAGAGAGACAGAGAGACAGAAAGCAAGAAATCACCCCAAAGGGAGGATGGCCCTACTGCAATCCCCTCTATTACCTAATCCT